CAAACATCTCAGGGTTATTTTCGTCTTCCTAATATTAAGGACAATGTTGTTTTCTGTTGGTAATATTGTAAAGAATTCCTTTGAACGAAGTTACACTTTTTTATCAAAATATCTGAATGACAAAATCTAGGCTTCTTGTAGGCGTATACATTTCTACGGTTTCGAGATACCTTTAATATTATATAAGGTAATATTACGTTTATTTTTAACTGAATAATAAGCAAATAGGGTATATTTTTTTTGTAATTTATAACAACTTCTACGAGACATTATATAATAATGTTTCTGATTGTCTAATGTTGTTGCTTTACACTTAAACTGTGCACTGAAACCGATATAAAATGAAACCTTACCTTTTATAATCTCAAAGATATATAATAGAAACATTACCCCCTTTTATAAAATCTCATTTTAACTAGACTTGGAAGTCGAACTCTACCGAACCTTCAAACTAAGCGAAGAACAAACAGAAGCATTAAACCAAACACAGCCAGCATCATTGCTTACCACCAGGTGAGATAGTGATCAAACGTAGGCCCATCAAATATAGAAAAAAAAACTTTACAAAACTTCTCTTTACCAGTCTTGGTCATCGAACCTTATCTTTTTTATAGCATAGAAGGCGAACGAGCACACGGATCACCCGATGGTAAGTGATCAGCGCCGCTCATGGACACTCGCAACACCAGAAGAGGCACATGTGCGTTGCTGGTCTTTTAAAAAGGAATGCGCTCTTTTCATGAAGGTTTGAAGGTCGTATCGTACCTTATTCTTTACCCTCAGTGTTAGCACCTAATACAACACATAAACATTGGACAAACCTTATTATAAGTATAATAAACCGCAAAATAATGTAAATATATAACACAAAATGTGTATAAGAAAATATCCTTGAACGACTCATTTCTGAGAAATCCAAACAACTTGTGATGTTAACGGTATATTTTTTGCGCCTACCTAGCTTGTAAATTGCTTTTTAAATCCTGAATAACTCGAACGATTTGAACAAATTAGGCTTCGTTCGGTTTTTCTGTCACGCGAGCTGGAAGCTAAGAAAATTTGAAACGATTTCTTTTATGGAATTTTGTTTACTGTGTGTAAATTATATTGTTAATGGTTATACCTATCTTTTATTCTCGATTGTAATATGTTATGTTACTATGAGTAATCACGACAATGTTTCAAATCCACCAATAATTTCCGATTTAGAGATGGCAGGGAATTTCTGTTTTTCCTATAAAATCCATTCTTATATCCTATATATAATACAACGTAAGACATTGATGAATGCTTTCGATATATATTTTAATGATAATAATGTGATGTCAAAGAGTAACTGAAGAAAAAAGTATAGAATCGCATGCACTATTTATCATTTTCAAGTTCAGCTCCTGTAGTTGAAAGAATTTGTTTTTTATTTTTTGAAACTTCTCTTTTTCTTTACTTCTTAGTTTCGGACATATACATTCTAGATTGTTCTAGCATCATCAACAAGTATCAATGCAATTAGCAACAATAGAATATTTACGATGCTTGTAATTTGTTTATGGTTATGGGTATTATGTAACAACAAATTGTTACATCGCATAATAGTTGCAAGAGACAATGTATGATTACAACACAGCTGTCATAGATATTACACTTCTTAAAATGATGATGAAACGAGATTCGTAGGTACTCCTGATTCATTAATAAGTGTTTGTAAATAAACAAACAAATGGTCTGATCTTTCTTGAAAGTATATTCGTAACAATGTAATTGTGATTCATGTGGTTATTATGATCCTACGCCCGCTTGAAAGAGTTAGTTGCTATCCGGAAGAGAAGATGAAAACAAGAATGCAGACCACGAACAAAATTATTCTTAGTTTGAACATTGTTAGATTCTTAGACTGCACGGTTGGTGCGGTGGCTGGGCAACCGGCTGCCGTGCAACGTGTCGCGGGTTCGATTCCCGCACGGAACAACACTTTGTGTGATCCACAAATTGTTGTTTCGGGTCTGGGTGTCATGTCTATGTGAACTTGTATGTTTGTAAACGCACCCACGATGTTGATAATTTCAATACCTATAATTTCTCAATAATTTTCTTATGCGATACCTGCAAATTAACACCAATGCGAACTGTCACCAACAGACTGCTATTATCCATAATCAAAGGTCAATTTATATTACCAATTTCATCATACTCTAACAAAATATTATCAACAAAATATGAAGCCTGCTAACCTATTCTAATAAAAACAAATTGAATATCCAAATCATACGGTCGACTAAGTCTTGCCCATGACATGTTATTTTCTACGGCTGTATCCTCAAAGTTTCAAGGGCTCGACGACAGGATTTGCGGAACCCACATCCACGTTATATGACTCTCAACAATTCCGTGCCCTTCTCAAATGGAAACAAGGCGCAATGGAGTTGACGTGAAGGTATTTTTTGCTATATTTTTATGTTCGTTGAGGCTGTATGAATATTTTGAATTGTTTTATCAAGTTGTAGGTTGGTTTAGTGGTTAGATGTTCCGTGTATATTTAAGTCTTAAATAATAACTTATATCGTAAATGAAATTATGTCGTGTACTGCAGTGGTTTTTGTCTTTATTACATTTTGTTTTTATGGGGGGAAAATCATCGAATGACTGCTCCCGCCTGGGTGAGGCGGGAGGGAGTGTCAGACTCTTACTGACTAAAAACCACCCCGTTCCTTCTCCTGCACGTCGAGCCGGAGCCCCGGTTACCCGTTAGGTTCTCCGCGAC